TAAAAATGATATGCGTAGTTTTCTACACCAGGAGCATATAAAGGTTATACATTTGGATCATTTAACAAAGACCAGGAACTTAATTGTATTTTATCTTCTTATTTTTACAGGATCGATCTCAAACAAGACGGCTAGCTGATGAATTGAAAATGTTTAACGTTGAATGCCACTCCGGTGATTTGTCATACCGAGACAGAGAACGTTTGATAACAAAATTTCAACTTGGCCAAACGAAATTCATTGCTGCAACTGATGTTCTGCAATATGGAATAAATGGCTATAATATTCGGGCTGTAGTGAATGTGGAGCTAGCATTGGGCCAAGAAAAGCGTCCAGATATGAAACGTTACTACCATAGAGTAGCACGCTGTGATCGATTTGGTAAATTGGTGAAAATGCATTACAGTAATACATATAGAAATAAATAATACTTTTTGAATATTTTCAATTAAATTTTAAAATTTAGGTAATCCAGCAGTGGCTATTTCATTCGGTACGAGTGAGCAAATTAAGGAGTTTGGGAACATTCAAAAACATATATTCAAATTATAGTTCCAGAGCAAGTCGGCTTTCAAGTTATTTGATGTGACTGTGCAATGTTTACACACATATAATTGAAATTTCAAAATTCATTATCGTTTTCTAATCGAATAAAAAACGTGTGTATTTAATCCTTCGCTTTGAAATCGATGCAGTCAATAAGACCATTTGTATTTTTGAACTTTGAAATCATATTAAAAAATTTAAACAGAACATTAATTCTTTGTGCATGCACAATTTTTTTAAATTCCAATATTAAAAAAACATAAGCCCCAGCTGTGATTGTGTGTATATATATTGTAGACACAACACCAAATATTAATAGCGACATTGACATTTCAAATATATCTACTGCACGTGTATGAGTGTATGCATAGAAATGTTGTAGCTATGCTTGTATAAGTTATCAACATGTCTGTGCATACACTCATACACGTGCAGTAGATATATTTGAAATGTCAATGTCAATATCAAAAGATAGATGACTATCAGTACTCGCAGTGCGCTTTTTATTTCAAGTTTTTTACCATTTTTCATAAAAATTGAGTTTTTTGCTTATTTAAAACGTTTTTTGAAAATTTATTTCGTATTATACGTTGAAAATGTCGCAAAAGAGATTACGACTGTCACCAAAACGGTATGGATCAAGTGCAAAGAATATGCAATTGCAAATATCTTCTGATTCCGTAGACGATTTTTTTAAAGACAATTCATTTGATGATGAAAATTATGTTCCACCTGAACCAATATCAAAAAAACGAAAGGTTGTCGCAACCATTACTAAGGCATCATTTGCAAAAATAAATGATGTAAATCATACTTCAAAGAAAGTCGACGAAAACATCATAAACTTAGACAATGAGTTCGAGAATATTCGTGAATTGGAACCATTGAATAGAAGTAAAAATGAAAGTCATCAAGTCAACGTGCATGCACAAGTGATCATTCCAAAATCATTCGAAGATATATATAGTATTTGTGAAGATTTAATGTTTCAATTTAAAAAATACTCGAGTGAAACGTTAGCGAGAATTTCTGTAATTGAAGATACCCTGTTGAATGTTGGTAATTTTCAAATGAACAACAAAAAGTCAAATATTGTGCAAAAAATAGAAGAAGCGAGTGTTTTTGCAACTGCGAATAATTTACCAATTCAAAACTCATCGAGTCTGCATGAATTTGAAGCCAAATTGAAAAATCCTGAATTCAAATCTGTAGCAGTACGTACACATTCCATGAATAACTTTGTCCGTGGATTTTGTTTCTTTTAATCAATGTTAAAAATGTGTTTTTTTTTTAAATTCACAGATCGATTGTTTAGCGGATCAACCTGAGATAAGGGCAACTAGTGGCAATCAACCGAAAATGTTAAAGAAAGTCCTTACAAAAATTATGGAAAGAGATATGATTTCCCATTTTAGTTGGACAGGAAAATCAACATCTGGTAAAAAAATGTCATTCCGTAGTTTAGAAGGCATACGTGATTTGCTGTACAAGACAGTAAATAAAATCGACGTCAATTTCACTCCTGCCATTGCGGAAAATTATTTAAAAACCAAAATATTGCGTTACGCAAATGAGTGAGTAAATTTAATTTGAAGAGATAACGAACATGACATCATAATGCATGCATACATATTTTTTTATTTACAGCTACAAACGAGAGAAAAAAAACAATGCAAACAACATAAAAGTCGAGCTAATTAGTTTTAGTGATGACAGCATGCATGTCGACACCGATATTATTGAAGTTGAAAACGATCACAGCCCTTTATTTTCAACTGATATAAAATTAAATTCTGCACTTGAACAATTGCCATTGAGAGTAAGCTATCAACCGGTGCGGGAACATAGCCAACTTATTCAAAAACGTGTACAAAACGATGATTCGATCAACAGGTACATCGATGACTTATATCATATTAACATATACATTTTGTTTGCTTGCAAGTATCCTTCGTGATAGATGATTGTTATATTCTGATTTATTTTTATTCATAATTCAGAAATTATCATGGATTATTGAACCAGCATTCTGAAGCGCTTCGGCGTGAAAAGTTACGATCGATGTATGTCATGACAGCTCACGGGTCGCAACAACAACAAAAATCCATACTGAACGCAAATATGGCATCTAGAGCAGAAACGATGGTTTCTTTGGCGCTTCATAAGTAAGTGCCTGTAATTATTTTGCTCACACAATCATACAAGTATGTGTATGAACTGTACAGTGCTGTATCATATACATTTACATATACTATTTAAATAATAAGATAATTATCTATACTTGACAGGTGACATAACTCTTTGTGTATGTGTGTGTTCAAATATTCGCATCATTATTTTTGTCTACTCATTTGCACATGACGCTTAGGTAAGTTCACACCATATTTAAAGAAAAAAATGTGGTTGACTTTGAAAAGATATCATGAGATTAAAGTCATCATTTTAAAGTCAAATAAAAAAATATTCTCTTTGCAGATAACCTATAAGACTTTACTAGTAAACTGTTCAACTGAAAATATTTTGTACGCCATGAAAATTAAATCGTGTTCTGTAAAGCTTAATCGCCTCAATCTATCAAAAATTAGAATGCGATGCACTGCAAAAACCTCGGAAAAAAATGTAAAACTAATTTGTAGATTACGACAAGAAGAAATAAACACATTTTCCCTTAAAATCACTCGGAAAATTCGTGATGAACTGCACCATCATTCTATTTCAAATGAAAATGGTATAAATTTTTTTTATGTGCTGTAAATGCAATAGTAATACATTTCTCTTTCTATCTATAGAAACAAATGATGAAATTAAGTCGCAGGACATCCGCAATACGAGCAAAACAACATCAAAACCATCTCATATGCAGAGTACCATGATAACCAGATCGAAAAAATGCAATGAAGTCAAAATTGCTGAACCTCGACGTGAAAAAATGAAAAAAAGTAAGCGTATATTGAATAAAAATAATTTACAATAATTTTTGGGCGTAAACATAATGAGTTTTTTTTTTAATCTAATAGATATGGTACTTGTAAAACGCGTTCCAAAGCCAGCACATGTGCAGAGTGTAAATATAGGCGAAATCGTTCTTTGTAAAATGAGAGGTTTTGTGGAATGGCCGTGTACGATTATAGACGTAGAAAATGTAATCACCGTTAAATTTTTTGGCGACAATACCACACATAAAACATCAATAAAAAATGTATATAATTTCGCCGAATGCAGTAATATTATAATAACAAATCTTCGAAACCGTAAAAACCCATTGTACAGCAAAAGCATTAGAAAGGCTGAGACCGTTTTGGGAATAACCATAAGGAACTCTATTCTTAATCAAGTTAATTTATGAATTAATTTTTTAGGCAATTCCTTAAGGTATATATAACAGCTGTGATTTATATCACGATCAGAATTTGCTACTTGGGAAATAATTCATTCTGCATGCAGAGAATTTTTTTAAATGTATATATACAAAAGAAAACTTTGCTGTTTGTCTTGATGCACAATTATGTGAATTTCATGCATAAAATGAACGAAAAAAAAAAATGTTAAGTCAATGGATTTTTAAAAATTTTATTCTATCAAATGAATGCATCTTATTTCGAATGTTGAATTTACTGCACAATATGATATGATATGATATGACATTTAAAAGTCATTATCATTAATTGTTGTTGTTTTAAATAATGAATATTTTTGACAGTTGGTTTGAGGTTCATACAAAATTGCATTTGTTTTATCAAGACTTGTCATGTATTCATATAATTTATTTGCATTCATATTTTATCTATTATAAGTTTATTTTTTGAAGTCACGTTGATCCAAAATGGCAAAAGTGAAATGTTTTGATAAAAAATCAGAAATGAATCGTATTCGCGTTCACAAATGTAGATTAAAAAAAAAAGAACAAATTGTACTACGAAAAAAAAGTGGAAGAAAGAATAAAATATATCAATTCTCGTATAAATGAACATGCTCATGTATTTTCTATTTCTGTTGACGATGAAAATAAAGAAAGTTTCGTTGAAGAAGATAAAATTTCTAGTTTCAAGGATCAATTAAAATGTTGGGCAGTTAATCACCGGATTTCGGCTAAAGCTGTTAATGATTTGCTACGAATTTTAATTTTTGCTGGTTTTGGCTTCCTTCCAAAAGATAGTCGCACCTTTATGTGTACACCATCAAAGCTTAATATTACATCTTTAACAAATGGTAGAATGTGGTATAACGGGGTGAAAAATTGTCTGGAGAATCTATTTTCAAATCTGTCGCGTAACTTAAAAATAACGCTTGATTTGAATTTTGATGGATTTCCTATCTCTAAATCATCAAACTCACAATTTTGGCCAATTTTGGCAGCCATTAGAGGTATGTCTATTGATAAATATTATTCATTTTCAATTTTCCATGGCAATATAATATAGTCATGACTTAACATTCGTAGAATATTCGGAGGTAAAACCTATGATTATAGGTGTATGGGAAGGAGAATCGAAGCCCATTGTGAATGAATATCTTTTACAACTTGTTACTGAGCTAAAAGAAATTTCATTAAATGGCATAAGCATAAATTCAAATCGTGTTGATATCAAAATTGGTTTAATTATATGCGACTCACCAGCAAGATCACTCATAAAAGGTAATTGAATGCATATAATATATATTTACTAAGGAATACAATATTTTGCCATGTGACATATAGGCTCAGTTTTGTTTAACCACCGTAACGGATGCCAAAAATGTATTACGTTTGGAGAATATAGCAAAGAATACCATAGAATGTGTTTTCCCAAATTAGATTCAATTCTTCGAACTAACGAATCATTTAGAAATCGTAGGCAAATAAGCCATCATAAGGAAAGGTCTATAATAGAGGATCTTGATATCGACATGATTTTAGATTTTCCAACATCTGACCCCCTCCACTTGTTAGAATTAGGTGAGTATATTAACTATATAATTTGTTTATAATATACATGTATAGAATCATATGCATGCATTCTTGCTTACCTTGAACTTGATAATACCATCATATGTCATTAGGAGTCATGAGACGGTGTATGTATCGTTGGGTTTTCGGAATGAAAGGCTATAATTCAAAGTGGCCAAAGTCTCTCGCCGATTTAACATCACGCTTACTTATAAAATGCCAAACGGAAGTACCATCGGACATACATCGTGCTGTAAGAAATTTAAAATGTTTGCGACACTGGAAAGGACTAGAATTCCGCACAGTATTACTATATATTGGGATCGTCATTTTCAAACAGGTACATTTTTATTATTAGTAATTTTGACCATGGTGTAACATTCATTGTTTTAAAGGTTTTGCCAGAAGCCGAATATAATCATTTTTTGGTGCTATTTGTAGCAACAAGAATTTGCTCATGTAATCATTATAAGGCGTACTTACCAATCGCATCAAAATTGTTCAAAATTTATGTGGAGAAATATTCAGAAATTTATGGTCGACATTCGATTGGCAGCAATGTCCACAATTTGATTCATATCACAGATGACCTGTTACATTGCAATGCTGGAAACTTAATGAGTATCAGTACATATAAATTTGAGAATAGTTTGCGTCTACTAGGTTTAAAAGTTAAGCATTCAAACCGACCCTTAGAACAAATTGTATGTCGTTTGACTGAAGAAAGCAAAATTCAAAATTTTAATAGTTTATTTGAAATTCATGAACAATTTGTAGAAGTTTCGTTTGAGACAAAGCTAGATAATCAAACAATATTTAAAAAGATTTCAATTTCTTCTGGTTTTATGCTATCAAGTAGAAGAGCTAAAGATTCATGGTTTCTCACCAAATCCAAAGACATTGTTAAATTTCAATATGCAGTTAAAGATAAATTTAGATTCAAACTGTACGGACTTAAAATAAAACAAAAGGACCCATTTTTTACAAGCCCAATTACATCGTCAAAGCTGGATATTTATATTAGTAGCAATAATTTTGAAAATGAGTTAAAAATGTATGAAATCGAATCAATTGAAACCAAAATCATGTCTTTAACTTATTTAGATAAGTTGGTATTTATACCACTGTTGCATACAACAAAATAATGTTTAATAAAACTTTTCTGAAGATTCAATTGAGCTTTGTGCATGCACTTATTTTCTATCAAAATCTATCACCAATCTTACAATAATTTTTTTTAATTTAAAAATTGATAATTGTCTCTGCACACGAATATTTTCGACATATGTTCATACACGCTTTCGACTCGGAAACGAGTATGAAAGTGGATCAAACTTATGTCCGGAATTGAGCCGAAAATTTAAAAAGAAGCCCGGATTTGTCTACTAAACCGATCAATCGGTCGTTATATGTGGACCCGAAAGCGAAGTATCATATTACTACCAAAAGCGACTATTTTGGAGACGGCATTTGTTACTTGTTAACATATATGTTAACATACAGGCGTGTCAAAAATTTTCGGGCCTGATATAGAAACACACATTGTATTTTCAAATGACTATATTTATTATTCAAAGTAGTCTCCATGAACACGAATGACACTTTCATAACGATGCTTTAATGCTTTAATTCCTCCTTCAAACCACTTGGCATCTTTGTCCTCCCATACGTTGAAAATATCGTTCGATATCTCTTCTTCGGACTCATATTGCTTCCCCTTCAGATATCTTTTGGTGTTTGGGAATAGGAAATAGTCGCTGGGGGCCAGATCTGGAGAATACGGTGGATGGTGGAGTTGTTCAAACCCACATTCCCTGATGGCAGCTTGTGCAAGCAATGATTTGTGAGACGGTGCATTGTCATGCAAAAGAAGAACTTTTCAAGTCAGCAAACCAGGACGTTTTTCTCTGATCGCTTTACGCAATCTATACATTTGTTGTGCATAATAATAGCCTGTGACTGTGGTGTTCTTTGGAAGGAATTCAACCATTATTATGCCTTTGGCATCCCAGAATCCAGAGGCCATTACTTTGTTTGTGGCAATTTGTTTGCGTGGCACTTTCGATGCTGGTTCACCACGTTTGTGTCATTCCTTCGTCTGTGATTTAAGCTCTGGATCATAGTAGTGGATCCACGTTTCATCGCCAGTCACTATTCGCTCAAATTTGTCCGTTTCATTCCATTCCAACAACTCGAGAAACTCACGTGCAGCAGCAATTCGTTCTTCTTTTTGAGCTCTGTTCAAAGTTCTTGGAATCCATCGTGAGCAAACCTTTCTCATGTGCAATTTTTCATGAAGTATATTGAATACACTGCCAGTTGAGATGTCAAACATTGCTGCTAACACTTTCTTGCTCATTCGAGGATTTTCGTGCACGAGATGATCAATTTTCTCCACCATATCTGAAGCAGTTACTTCAACTGGCCGACCTGTATGTGGATCATCTTCCAATGATTCTCTGCCCCACTTGAATAGCTTTGCCCTAGGGGCTTAATACGGCAAAAAAATTCACAGGAATTCACGTAAATTCACACTTTTGAATCGAGTGGTTATTGATGAGTTCGGTGAATTAGTGTGAATAGAATGAAATGTGTCAATTTAATAAAGTGAGGTTATGATAACCGCAATATTTTTTAATTTATTATTTTTTCAATATTTCCGATTGTTTTCGATAGAAAATCGCTCAAAATTGAAAATAAAATTAATTTTTATTAAAAAAATATAAAAAACATTTACAATTTTGTTACACAAAATATAAATATTGCAGTAATTGCCAGCAGAAACTATTCACCACTATCTCACATATTTGAATGAACTCGCCGTAGAATTCACCGGAATTCATCGTTTGCAGAAAAATTCAGTTAATTTAGATATTATTATAGAATTCAGTCGTTGAAAATTTTGAATTAAGCCCCTAGGCTTTGCCCATTCTTTGACCCTGGTATACGATGGAGCAAGTTTACCATAAACAGCACGTAAGCGGTCATTGATATCTTTTGGTGCTATACCTTCTTTTGTGAGAAACTTAATCACCGCACGATATTCGATTTTATCCATTTTTCTAAAAATATCGAAGTTGCTTGATAAATAATGTTATAGAAACAAACGATCACTGATATCAACTCAATTTTTTTACACAATAGTGTTGAAAGTTCGCACTTCAATTACAGCACATGAACAATTTGTAACTAGTGCCGTCTATATGTCAGGCCCGAAAATTTTTGACACGCCTGTATGTGTACCTTCACGTGCATGGCATTTACTAATAGTTTCTCTTGCGGAAACTGTTTTAACGAACACCAAAAATATTATTGTTTTATAAGTTG